TACCCACCCCTGTTATTAGGGTTCCTGTAACCCCGTTACACCCTCCCCCATTAAGATTTACAGTTTCAATCAATTATCGCCTCAACGAGGCACGCGTGTCTGTTAGACACTGCAACATCAATTGTTGGAACAAACAACTTCCTTGCGGAATGTGCCCTGTGTCCATGATACCAAAATCTCCAAGTCTCGCCGGTTCTGACGGCGAGCATGGGCAGATCCCAACTTCATCTCCCGCACTCGGTGCAACGTCGAACATTGCGTCCGCAGCACCGAGAAGTGTATATCCTAGGCTCGATGAGCACAAACGTCGCACTCTGCGCACGCTCTCAATGCCGAGTGGTCTCGTTGATGATGTGGTTGACTATGAGTCTGACACTCCTTTTCCCGCATGGGATGACACGGAAGACGAGATGCGCCCGCGGCGCGATACGAGCCCTGCATGTGTCTTGCGGACCCCATGTCCGTTCCCTGATTTCTCGTCAACTGAGGCACGTGTTGTGAGCACCAATGACCTCGACGGGAACAGAAGCAGTAGCTTGAAGCTGCCCATAAGGCGGCTCTAAAGCGCGCCCATCCACGGTCGGTCATTGACCCTCGTGTGGAATATGGCTTCCGCCCAGCGGATCCCGCTTTGGAAGCGAAGGGCGCGGTATCTCGATCGTTACGCGTCCGCATTATCGGCCCCCCGGCCAGAACGGATGATGAACTTGCCAAACGGAAAGCTCTTCGAGCTCGTTTCTTGGTCCCACAAGAAATTCCGCTGAGAACTTATCGCACTCGTTTGAGTGCACAACGAGGTGGCTCTTGTGTACCCGCAATGCGGACAATACTTGTAGTTCTCGCCCCTGCGAAAGTGCTACAGAAGATGAAGCGCTCTTTGAGCGATGGGTGCAACGGCACCGGAAACTTCCCTCACTGCATATCCTGCAGCTAAGCCACAACGAAGTGGAAGTGCGTGTGAAGCGACACCTCCGCTTTGAGTTTGCCAAACTCAAGGCACGCTGTCGACTTCCTTCGGATTGTCGCCCTGCGA